AAGCCAGTCACATATGAGTAAATGTGTGATTTGTAAACTGAGATCTAATTCACATAGACCTTTATACTAGTTTCAGGCATATGACATAATGATTCAATATTTGTATATACTGGAAACGATCACCACCATTAAGTCTAGTTGACATTCATCACTACATATAGTTACAAGTTCTGTTTTCTTATTCTGAGAACTTTTACAATCTACTCTCTTAGCAACTTTCAACGATGTGATACAGTATCATTAACTATCGTCAACATGCTATGCATTACAGATCCAGGACTTACTTATAAGCGGAAGTTTGTACCTTTTGACCCCCTTCACCTGTTTCACCCCCCCTAACCCCCATCTCCAGGCACCCAGCTGGGGACGCTGGGTGTGGGGTGGCTCCGGCTGGGCTGACCTTGGCTGTGGTTTGAAGGAGGAGCCCCAGGATGGGGCAGGAGATGGACTGGCTCCTAGGCCAGCAGAGATGACAGTGCTTCTGACCACAGCTGCTCAGAAGCACCGCCGGGGCCCGGATGTGGGTGCCCAGGCAGCAGCAGACAGGGCCCAGAGGAACCACAGAGAAGTCCCTTCTGATGCCTCAAGGCTCCGGCCACACCACAGAGCAACATGAAACCCGTTCATGGGAGGAGGAATCAGCAAGGCCTCCTCCAGCGAGGATGTGGGCAGCACTACCAGCCAGCCGCTGGTACCACTCGGCCTCTGGTGATGCCCTGGGCGGTCCGAGAGCTGTGCTGGCCGAGCGGAGCCGGGAGGGAGCCGGAGTCAGCCCGCGGGTGATGGAGCCGAGGCTGCCGCTGGTCGGCGGTGGACCGTAGGGCCTGACGCTGTTGGGCAGGCTGTGCACCTACCCCTGTCTCCACGCAGACGCAGGACCCGGTGGGCGGGGTGGGGGGTGGGCTCTGGGAGGAAGACCCGGTGCCCAGGGCTGTGGGCAGGACTTTCCCAGAGGACGCTGACCTAACGGAGCCCCTCCTGCGCGGCACGGCAGACCCGCTGCGAAACTCTGCTGGATCTTTTCTTTTTTTCTTCTCTCCACTCAAACATGCAATAACTTTATTTGCCTTTGGTTGGCTTCTCAGGAGGGGCTGGGCTGGCAGCGGCCTGGGCTCCACGCGCCCTCGGTGACCTGAGAGGCAAGGACCAGAATCGAGGCCAAAGGCCGAGGACTGTAGATTCTGGAGGCGGCAGTCAGGCCAGGCGGGGGCAGGTCGCCTGTTCCTCAGGCCAGCACCCCGCACCCAGCCTCAGGAGGTGGGCAGAGGGGAGGCCCTGACCCCCACCCTTGGCGCTCATCCCCGCCCACACTGCGGGCACGTGGTCTGCGGAGCCTGCGTCCCCTGCAGACGGCCCTCCTCCCGTCCTCTGCCCCTTGGCTAGGATGAAGAGGAGGATGCCACAGGGAGGGCGTCGGCCCAGGCCAGTCCGCAGCTCTCCTGAGGCTCCTGCCCTCTTTCTGGGAATGTGTTCCGGCTCAGGGGGTGAGGGGCAGGCTTCCCCCTGCTCTCTGGTGAGCTGGGCTTTGGCAGCACCGCCCCTGTTCTGGAAGACCCGTCAGCCCTGAGTCCTGAGAGCATCCCTTTGGAAGCTTCCTTCCACCTAACCGTGGGCACATCACCCTGCGGCCAAGTCGTCCGTGATCAGAGAAGTCAGGATGGCGACTTGGGCATTATCCTTAGAGGAGAATTTAAGAGGCTCCTGGGTTCTGGCTAATTAATGTTCTATATATTGATCTGGGTGCGGGAAGATTTCATAACCATTTACAGAAGGGGATCTTACGATTTTTGCAATATTTTTGCACTTTTCTGTGTACATTATACTCCAAATAAGACATTTATTTAAAAAAAAATCCATCCTTAATGATGGAGACCTTAAAAATCATAAAAACACTTAAAAGAAACAAACCCTGGAGCAGTTCCTCGGAGCTGGGCTGGGAGGGCACAGAGGTGTGGGGAAGAAGGGCTGGGCAGCGGGGACTCCCCTGCCTGCAATGCCTTGGGGGTCACAGTCAACCTTCCTGCTACCCAGGAGACAAAAAATAACAGCAGTGCCAGCGCAGGGCTGGGGGACGTGGGCAAGGAGTTATGGGTAACAGAACCCTCCAGAATCTGATGGAGGGGCAGAGCAGATCATGAGCATGTGCAGGGGCACCCCCGACCCTGAGGATTCTCAGCATTTTCCATACCCAGACCACCACGGTTTACAACCAAGACCCTTCAGAACTAGCAGTGCTCTGGTGAACACAGAAGGGGGAGGGGAGCAAACAAGGGCCAATCCTAGGTGGTGGCTTCAAAGACTCTCTGTCCAGGGGCACGTCCTGCCCCAGGAAGGCTCGTTACCTGTCCAAGTGGCAGATATGTCTTGGGGAAGGTGAATTTATAAGAAAAACATAATGAGAAACAGGAGGAGCTGAACCACAACAAAAGAAAGTCAGCCAAATGGACAATCAATGCCCAATGGAGCACAAGCAATAAAACAGGATCAAGGATTTCAAATTTGCATAGTGAATATCCTTAACTAGACACAGGAAGGTGCTGGTGAGATAAAGAAGAAATAAGTAGAAGCTCTAAGCATGGAAACATGCTACTTACTGCAAACAGCCCCATTAAATGTGGGAAGTTGCAGAATGGTTGTAGGCGAATTGGCACACTAGAATATAAACTTTGAAAATTCCAAGTTTATGACACCAAGGTCTCCATGTGCACAATTACAAAGGCACCATTCACACTGTCTGATTCAGACGTGCATGGGGGGAGGCAGGGAACAGAAACTGTAAGGCAAAATTGTTGAATCTGATTAAATTAAAATTAAGGATTTCTTTCCATGAAAATCATTGTTCACAAAACACACACATCACAGTTAGGAAGAAAAAAACTGCAATGTCTAAAACTGACAGGAAGTTAAAATGTATAATCGGCAAAGCTCCCACAAATCAACTATTTAGAAGCAGAAGGCAGAGAAAAATGCTAATTTGATATAAATCAGGAAATCAAGAAAAAGAATTGAGCCATTGTCCCACAAAGGAGTAGATACTGGCCAGAAAAAGTGTCACAGTGAAATAAGGTGATGACAGGACAGCATTCATTTCTGAGTTGCTCGTAGTTAGGAGGAAATTGAGGGAACTCTGTGGCCACCATTGGGAGAGTGGGTAGGCAAACACATGAAACACTGCAACACGACATAACACCGAGAGCAACAAACTAGATTCAGCAGCAGGGAAACATGTTTATATAATAAAAGTAAATGGAAACAGTAAGGGGGTAAAATCTACGGCAAACTTCTGTTCATGAGAATATATAAAACACAGACACAGTTTACAAAGATATTTGCACATTTAAGGATAGATCAAACACGTTATAGTGGCTCCAAATGGGTCCTCCGAGAAATGGAATTCAGGGTTTGGAATAAAGAGGGAAAATGTATCAAAAAAGCAAAAGTGACACCGTTCATAGGCCAGTGATGACTGTATGAAATGAGAAGTACAATTAACTCAGTCTGGCCCCTAAGTTTCCCGATGAGGGTGGGGAAAGCATGGGCATAAGAGATGGTGGTCCCTGTCTTCAGGAAGCTGACACGTTTTGTTTGTGTGAAAGAAGAGTACATTCGTTACATTATATATTACATTCCTTATATTATATACATTCTTAATATAATATTAATGTGTATAATAATATAACATATAATGTAAAGAATATAACATTAATATCATATCCACATAATAATTAGAAAATCAGCCAGAATATTGCAATGTTTTCATGGTATAGATAATAGACAGTTGTATTAGCTGCTTTTTCCCTATTTAAACAGAAAAATAAAATCAAGAGAAACTGTTCATGCAAAAGTTCTCTTATCGTAGAAGTAAATGTGTCAGTTAAGATGAATGCTATTCATTTCAGTTTCATAATTTCAATTTCAGGGCCTTTTTGGTAGAAAATTTATAGTAAATTATTCAATTAAAAGAC